GGGGGAACTGCACCCAGACCCAGGTGGTGTTACCCTTTTCCCTGCGGTGGGGAGAGGCAGACCGCCCCGACTCCGCAGCAGTAGGGAGGCCCCACACTCCAGACCGCAGTCGGACGGCCAACTCCTTCTAGCCGCCCCGCTCCAGCAGGCCGCAGAGAACGGGGGTGAGAGAAGACTCCAAACCTCCCTCCACCCGCTCATTGTAGTGTTGATGCATGTGTGTTCTAAGGTGCAATTAAAACCCAGGAGGGCATGGAGCTACCTGTGTATATATAATTTCAAGGTTAATAAAGAAAAAATGGACAGAGGAGGAAATCAATGGGTGAGGCAAATGAGAAACACACTTAAAAATATATACATTGGAGGAGTTTGGTTAGTTATCATCGTAATTTAATTTGTCGAACTGCTTTATAGTTCAAACTTATAATGCTTAAGAGCTACTATGACAGCTGTGCATAAAATGCAAATGATTTAGTGTTATGAATAATGATTATTTCTGAGCAAAATTCTTCATTCCTACTGTATCCTGACACCCATCAGCTGTATTTATAGTCCTTATGCCACGAGCCAGCTCTGAACCTTTGCTTCTGGGTCCAGGTCGGGTTGAGTTCAGTACTGAGTTTTACCAGTGCAGGACTCGAAGGTACATCATAGATGTAAATTAACATATTTTAAAAAACAGCAGCCAGCATGCATATTAATACCACTGCCCATGCCACCAGCAGGTGACAAGGAAAGCTAAGTTTGTACATTTACAAATCACAGCTTGCATCAGCAAGGTTCTCTAATACAGTAGCAGTGGTTATTACTCAAAAGCAAGGGTGTTTGTATGTATGAGTGTGTGTGTTTATAGCATCTACACCAGTAATTTATCACATGAACCAATAAACCAGGAAAATCTCAAACACTGTGTATGTGTCAGCCATTACCTAAGGGCTTTCTGGAGCTGGTATTTTGAAGATGTATGCATCAGGGCATATGAGTTTATTAACAAGTGTTCAAGTAGAAACAATGACTCACCACAGTTCTCCTCATCTGCTTGATTTCCACAGTCATCGATACCGTTGCAGTGCATGAGCTGAGGGAGACAAAAGGTCAGGTTCCCACAGGGGAAATATCCTAGTGGGCAAGTCCTCCTCTCCTCTGTCATATTGAGTGCTGTAAACAAAGCAGAAAAGCAATATGATTGAATAGAAAGTTTCTGATACTCTATTTTATTCCTGTCAAATGTGTCAGTAAAATGTAACATCTATCAACCTCATCTTGATATTTTTGTGAGCTCCTGAACATCCAAGCTGCTGTTCTTTCTGCAACCCATAACGAGCTGCTGTACTTCATTAAGCAATCTTAAATAACTGATGTACTTCAGAGACAGAACAAAATATATTACCTGGTGCCTGCATCAAATGTAAAATGGGCTTTATGAAACAAGGACGTCTTCTCTATTCTTTCATTCGCACTCTAACTATTAAAATTGCATACTGAGTCTGCCTTTGGTTCAAAAAACAGTATGTGGGCCCAACTTTAGGTTATACATTAAACCCAGTGTTGGGGAGTAATGGAATACATGTACCGCTGTTACGTATTTAAAATACAAAATATGAGTAACTGTATTCCGTTACAGTTACCGTTTAAAAAGGTGGTATTTAGAATACAGTTACTTTGTTGAAATAAACGGATTACACGGCGGTATTTCCCTGTTTCATATTGTGGCGGGTCAGGACTGTTTGAGTTTTGTTTGACAGCTATCTTCTGTTGTTCCAGGCGGCAGCGTTATGGTTGCCATGGTTACAGGGTGACGCTCTCTCTCTCTCTGCGTGTTTCCTGGGTGAGAGAGCGCCTTTTTGTTGTTGTTGTGCTAAGCTAATAGGCAGAATGCTACCGGTATAGCTCTAAAGAATGTAGCATCATAGGCAGTGTAGTCCGTGCTGCAGGGAGAATGGACTGCCATACCCGTTATGTGTATTCTGTAATGGAATACATTTTAAAAGTAACCTTCCCAACACTGATTAAACCTATACTGGCATTCCTGGACTGACAATTATAATCACAATCTACTCCTTTTCTTCAATCCTTTCTCTTGCCCTTAGCGCAAACTGTTAAAGTAAAGTAAATGCAGGTGCTTTATTTGGTATTATATAATGTGTTTGTGTGTGTTCTTTAAATAATATTTTGGGATAATAAACAATGCCTCATGTTGTCAGACCTGCTCCTGACTTGAAACATTGCACCTTTGAGGTATCAAACAAGTTGAACAGCTGAAGGTGGAAACTAATCAAATGGTTTCACTCATGGCATGCTGCACATGCCCGTATTTCTGATTATGTTTACAATAAAGTCCCCTCACACTTTATTTTCTGTGAAAAAAACAAAACCATATCAGCTTCACATCTTGAAACCTGATGGCATGAAATTAGATTCTGTCGAGTAAAAGTCACTGAATTTTATACATCAAGCTGGACAGTTTCATTATGCTGAAAATGCTGGGAAATCATTTTAATCTCTTTTTTATTTTGATAACATCTGGTGTGCCCAACATTTCTGCCTCCTTTTTGTTTTTCCTGAAAGGAACTAATACAACACCGGTGCGCTAATACCAGGCAGGGTTAGCAGCACCTGCAATCATAAAATAAACATATGCCCTTAATATTTAAAACAGTTAAAATCATCATATTACTCTCTAACACTATCAGTCTTTTCTTGATTCTTCCTAAATCACCATGTTAGTGATGGATTATGAACAATATATTAAAATTTAGCTTTCAAAACCCAGGGGGGTTTAATCTGTAGTTCAGTTCAATTACAGTTCAATCTGTAATTTAAATCAGTTTGGGAATACTAACATAGATCTCACACATCAGTAGTTACTCACTGCAGCACAATAAGATGGCATGCTGGCAGTGTTTAAAGTCTAATACATAAATAAGAATAACCCAAATCTCCGATGTTTGGCTTCTTGCTTTTTCCCTCCTCAAAGAATGAAAATTAAAGCAATTCTTAGACGTTAGCTTTTGCCTGTAGATGCTGGTGCTGTCACTTAACCTAACTGCCAACAGTCTTAAATAGGTGGTGTAGAAAATATGAGTGGCTGTAATTTTAAATGAACTTTTCAAAAGAAGTGCATTTACACAAATTTGACAATGAGCATGAGCCACTCATCAAAAATGTATCAGCATGTTTTATTTTTAAGCTCAAGTAAAAGGCAATTATATCAGATATTTAGTTGCTGCTGAACTTGTAAAGCAGAGTAGCAAAGGCAGTTTATTTAATTCATTGGATTCAATTGAATCCACTGTTCCAGAATTGAATAAACAGTTTTGTAGTTATCACTTTTAGTCTTTTAACCTAGGTTTCTAGAAGCCTTCTGAGACACTTGTGCAGGGAAGGGTTTATATTTTCATTTAATTTGAGCTCATCATCTGTGACAGCTGATTTTCTCCTTGCTCATCATGAGTTTATTTCCTCTGCGACGGCAGAATATGTCACATAAGCATCTGCATCAGGTTAAACTAGGGTGATCAAACACATTCATTTCTGGTTAACTCTAAAAGACTCGCTATAGACAGACAGGAAGACTTGCTAGCCTTGCAGCATAAAGGCTGCAAAGTAAACGATTAAATTCTCCTTTGAAAACCAGCATCTGAACACATAACCCCTAATCCCCTAATGTCTAATGACTTCTACTTTATTCAAACATAGCACACAATCTCTCTTTAACAGTGGAGAGCTATAAAGTATGACAGTATCACACACTGTAATAATATATATTAGATTAGATTTTTTTAAAATAGAAAATAAAATACAATCAAAATATATAGCACAACATAAGTTTTCTGATAACTTGCAGGGAATATTCCTTTAGAAATCACATGGAGGAATGCTTCTGTTGCATTACCATTTAAGATTATTTACTGACTAAACTTTTCACACTTTATCCCTAAATGTTTCTAGCTATTAGCCAATGGAATTGTATACGTGAAGCCAAATGTTCAGCTCACATTGCTGGATATTAAATGGTCTTGTCTCTGCCAAACCCCTATTGCAAGCTCTGTTGACACCCCTTAACCAGACTATTTACTGTAGCGAAAACATGTCCTTGCCTTGTTTTGTGTGCAACACGCAAGAAAAAGAAACTTCAGCTGATAGTGTCTGGACGTGATCGTTGTGCCTCTGCCAGTGCCCGATGTTCATAATAACTGAACAGAGAATTAAATATTCTGAACGTACTTGGCTGCCGATGATATATGAATTCCTTGGTGATAACTTGTCTGGTTAAAAGTGACATCCACAAATAACAGCCACAACAAGCCATTTCAGAACTTTACATTTTCAGTTTACTTCCTCAGTAAGCTGAAAATTAAAAAAAAGTACCAAGTAATTAGCAAACTGTAATATTTAGCTAGATAAAAGCTTTTCACATGGTTAATTCTTTATAAAGGTCTAGAGCCATTATAAATACCAATAAATATGACAGTTATTTGTTTTTTTGTTGTTTTACTTTAATTATAACTTGATTTGAGAATCAGTTGCTTACTTTCCTAGGACACATATAAGGTTTCTCTACATTCACTTACTTATATTCTTAGTTAACATGAACTAATCAATGATCCCATTAATCACTCTTCAGGACTGGACATTTCAGTGATTGTACTACACAGTATAAGAATAATAAAGCATATCACAAATAACAGTGAAAATTATTCTATTATTAATTGTACACTCTTATATCAGCTCGTTTCATCAGTTGTTTGTCTAACATTGTTTATTTGTAATATTTGCACGTAACCGTTCAGTTACAATATGCTGTTCCTCAATATTTAGACTGACACAAGTACATTCACTTAGATGAGTGTGCAATTTGTATTACAGATAAGCTGCTCATCTAAAAAAGTGTGATATTTACACTTTGAGCATAAACCCTTCAGGCGGATAATTGCTGTTAGGGTTACAGCATAATGAAGAAAAAATGGAGGAAATAACTCTTTAATATGCATATGCATATTCCCCAAAATTTAATGGGAAGTTTCACTACTTTCCTAACTAACTATCCCTGACTTTTCAGCTGGCATCAAAGACCAGCTGCAAATATTCAACATTTATGCAAATGGATGTCTTATATGTTTACTTATATGTTGTATATATGTCATATGAAATAATAGTGCATTTAATAACAAGTTCAAACATGGACTCAAGTGAAAGAAATGTGAGAAAATTCATTAAATATGCTCTAAAATTGATCTGCAACTACTCAGACAGCTCTTATACTATATTGACTGTCTCTGGGATTGTTTCAACATGCTGCAGCCCCACAAAAGCTGATAAGGAAAGAGGTAAGCACACTGACAAAAACTCAGAGAAGATGGTTTGCCACAGATGTGGTCCAACAGTTTCTACTGACTGATTGTGAATTATGGTTCCAAAGAGCTTGGTGGCAATGCTCTGTGAGATTCTGGGATAAAGCCAATCAGCTGTTTGACTGTGACAACATACGAACTATGCTCTTAATGGGCTGTTTTCTGATGCAACAGATCTATTTTTCACAATACAGCACACAGTATAGACATTTTGTCTTCCAGTGCATGGTTGTATCTAGAATCTAATCAAAGAAAATGCAGCTCATTTCTTCCATGACTAGTTTTAGCGTAAAGTTCAGAGGTGATTCAAATGCAGACACAAGAAAACAGGATGGAGACAAAGCTGGCATTAATTAATGTAATCAATTCTACACACCAAAAGGCACTGTAGAGTGAGCACCATACTCAAAATGAAGTCTAACTAATAACTTGGAAGGATCAAAAAGGAAAACAAAGCCTTGGGGAGTCACACAGAGACAGAACCACTGGGGCGGAAGGGAAACAGACAAGTCTGCAACTGACAAAGGATGCACAGGGCTAAATACACAGAGAGCTAATTGAACGCAGGTGAAATTAATGAGTGTGGACAGAGGATCACAAATGAGGCAAAAATCAACAGAAAACGCAGAAAGTTATCAAAATCAAACAAGAAGTCATTGCAAAGAAACCTTAAGAGAGACAAAGGGAACCAAAGACAGCAGTCATGGGGGGGAAAGGAATGAAAATTATCCCAAAGAAAATCCTGGGACAGGTTATCACTGCCCTGCTGTCATTAGTTTATAAGCTGTATGACAGTCTTAAAAGCTTCTTCTCAAACAACACGTCTGTCTCAAACCTACAGCTGAACATGGAGTGGTGTGTGATCAGTCCAAATAATGCACTAAATAGGTTTAAAATATCAGGGAGATATTAATATCCCAAACATTTTCTTGGCCGGTGCCTTCATTTTGCAGTGGCTCCGCTTGGACTACACTCAGCGACAACAACTGGCAGACTTAACTCGGTGTTCCCTTTAGGTTTCCCCCTGCTCTAAACCTTACAAGATCCCACACAAGTAGCAGAGAGTTACCGATACAGTAGTGGATGCACTGCTGTTTTATTAGATTATGAATGCTTTAGATTAAGAAAAGCGAAGATAATTCCAAAAAAATCGAACAAATGGCAAATTCTCTGCAGTCCAATAAATGTAATAAACATGCAAAACAAACATCCTCAGACCCACATGCATAATAACATGAAATGGGACTAAAGACATTAACTGGGCATGTTTATTGATTACAATTACGTCCACATTTAGATAAGCTTAAATTGTATAATATTGGAGGTGGTTATTAGTGGGTGGAATAGCCATTGCACCGAAAACGATTTTAAATACGACCAATTCAAGCTATCGTGAAAGCAACATAATTATCCTGCTACATCTTCTGTCATGCATTCGATAGAAACCCTGGAAATCACTATTCTCTCTCCCTCTCTACCCTTTTTGTTGTCCGTGCTTATGTGAAAGATATTTACTTGGATTTACCCGGCGGCTACTTCTTAAAAAACATTATTAGAAAATATGTTCCCTTTAAAATTGGTGTGAAAAACAATAGATTTTGGAACACTTGAAAAAAGATAACTTATCTACAACCAGCCCATATTTTCGTGATGAAAGAAGTTGTTAAACTTACCCCACACTCCGTAAGCGAATACCACAGCTATATAAAATTGCATCGTGGCGCTTTGGTTTTTTCTTTTTTCTTTTTTCTTTTGCTGAATATCGCGCGGTTGAAGTAGTAAGAGAACAACGCAATGGTCGTCTACTCGTGCAAACTGGGAATCTGTGCGTAAAAATGTCACCAAAAGTTTGCCCTTGCGTTCCTGTTACGTAATAAACGCGTGGACCGAGGTACTGTCAAACGCGTGCGGTGCAGATGCAGCTAGAGAAGAACCCGTTGCCACTTCGCAAAGTCGACTAGGTCTGCAGCCATCTCCACTAGCAGAGGGGTCTAAAGAATCAGTTGCCATCTTCTGACGCACAAGCCGCAGCAGTACAGGTGCAGCGCGCAGAGGGCGCTCGCAGGAGAAAAGGGGGTGGGGGTGCAGTCTGGGTCTCTGAATAGGAGTCCAAAAGCAATAATCCGTTTCGCTGATCAAATTTGTAATCAGTAGGTGTTTGTACTGAGCGCTAAACTTTAATTGTGCAGCACAGCACCCTGCAGAGTCTACAAAAGCCTCAATGACAATTCATGTGTTAGTAGGATCAGAGGAGTGTATGTGAGATCACTGGAAAAAACGTCTGAGTGTGGGATAGCGCACACGATTTTCCCCGAATCACCCCCCCACACACACACACACATCAAACATTTTCCTGTATTATAGAAATAAAAAAAGAAGAAAAAAAGTTGGTATGTTTGGACCAGGAGAAAGAATTAGAATTTGTTTTGTCTCTAACCGGCAATTAGAGACAAAACAAATATCTGAAATATCAGATTTAATTATTAGCTTTAACGCCGTTCGTCACACAATAACAACAACTCATCAGCTTGCTTGTAAGTTGAAGTATACTTTTAGTAGTGCTTGTTAAAGCCAGTGTAAAAGATGTACAAGATATTATATGTAGGGTAGATTTACATATTAATGTCTGTGTGTTTTAACAAGTCAATATAAATTATGTATGAATGAATAAGAACCTGCGAATATTATCACTGCAGGCTGCATTTTGTCTTTCACCGCATGCTTCACTCTTTTGCTTTAAAAGGTAGTGACTTGCTGTTCCGATTCATTCTCACTTTAGTGTTATTTCAAGACACAGCTGCTATTTTCATCTAATAAACTCCCCAATGAACCAACTGTATGCTGCTTGCCTGGTGCCTGATGGCAAACAGACACTCGTGAATGTAACGGATCAGCTGTTAAAGAGTCTTAGTTTTATGCATTTTGTGAGACCAAAGCCTGAGCTAAAAGAAATCCTGGACTTACTTGTAGTCAGAAGTCATCATGGGCATGACTGTAATGGTAATTTTGGGCTTACTTTTTACTGACTTTTCTAATAATTATTCCATGTACCAGTAACTGCTTTTTTACTGGTTTCTTTGTTCTTCGGAATGATTGCACAGTGTACATCTTCAGTGGCTTAAAAAAACGGATTGGAACAAGGGTTGGGTGCACCGGTTTTAATTTATTTTGCATTTTCTTTCATGCAAACAGGGTCAAAATACAAGCTAATATAGATTTTTTTTAAAAAGAATTTCTTTTTCCTTTTGCTGAATATCACAGAGCTGAAGTTGCCCCTGTGGGCAGTTGCCCCTGTGGGGTCCTTCAAAACTCGCGTCCTCTACCAGAGGCCTCTCAACTTAAGGTTCTGGTGCATTATGAGAACACAGACACACTGAGGGCTGCGCAGAACAAGGTGATCCAGTCCCAACGGGCAAAAGCTCACTGAAAGTCCTGTTCCTAGGACTCCGCTCTTCTAGACGGAGATCTCCAATGTTGTTCCTGAGATCCACTGGAGTCACTCGCCTAGCTTGGGAGTCACTGCATCTAGTGCTCCGATTACCACTGGGACCACTGTTACCTTCATCCTCCACATCTTCTCGAGCTCTTCTCTGAGCCCTTGGAACTTCACAAGCTTCTTGTGTTTCTTCTTCCTGTTGTTGCTGTCATTTGGTATCGCTACGCCTATCACTACAGCCATCTTCTTCTGTTCTTCTACCACCACTTTGTGCAGTTGGTTATCCACCGCTAATTTGTCCATCTGTATCTGGAGCTCCCCCAGGATCTTAGTTCAGCCATTCTCCACCACCCCATCTCCTATTTTGACCTCTGGACCTCCAGGCCATATTCGGCACAGATTTTTCTGTATGCTGGCCACTTGGTTAAGGCGTGCTAGATGTTAGGCCTGCTAGCATCTTGCACCCTGCTGTTATGTGCTGGATTGCCCCAGGGACATCTGTACACAGCCTGCACCTGGGGTCTTGCCTGGTGTGATAGATCCGAGCCTCGATGGATCGTCTGCTCAGAGCTTGTTCCTGTGCTGACTCTGTGCTATCTATTTTTCTTTTGTCCATTCACTGGAAGGACTCTGGATGTCAGCCACTTCCTTTGTCTGCTGGTGGTACATACTGCGCCGTGGCCTGTCTTTCCATGATGGTTGCTCCTTTTCCTCCTCTTTCTTGGGTTTCTGCTGTCTGAGGTGAGCACATGGTTGTTTGGAGCCTCCTTTGTATGGGAGCTGTCACTTCTGGGGATCCTTGGGGATCAGGACAGTCCAGCCTTCAGTTAGCCATTCCGGGTGTCCCTCATTAAATAGCAGCTGGTTCATCTGTGCTGCCAGATGCTCGCCAAATGCATTTAGCCAGTAGGTGTGAGCCATGTCAGGGCCTGGTGACAATTCTTCATACTGGAGACACTTTGTTGGATGTCTACTGCTGTGATGGTTACTGGGTCCTGTTCAGTAAGGTTGCTGTGGTCTGTTCTTAGATCAACTATGAAGCCACTGAGCATTACCTTTGAGTTGTGTCCTTCTCCCATATGCTCTTCCAGTGTTGCTCAATCTCCAGCCATGGTGGCGCTATACTCATATTATTCTCCTGCCACTCAGAGTACACCTTGGATGGGTCGGTGGATGGGTCTCCAAGGCCCTAACCCTAACAGCTCATATAGTGCCGAATCACAACAATAGTTGCCTCAAGGCAGGACTGTCCAGCCTTTAGTGTAGGGTCTACAGAGACCCTACAAAGACCCTTCAATAAAACAAAGAAAACAGAGAACCCCCCCCCAAATTATATCACCCCTTATGCAGTCTGGCAGCAGTGAGAAGGAAAAACTCCCTTTAAACAGGAAGAAAGCTTTAGCAGAACCAGGCTCAGGGAGGAGTGGACAGCTGGCGCGGCTGTTTGGGGGTGAGTAGATGAAGACAGGACTGTAACAGGCTTCAAAATTGACACTTTCAAGCTTGACTGAAATTTGTAGTTTTCCACATGAACAAGCCAATAAAAAAAATTAGAGAAAGATTTTATGGTCAGAAGAGACAATTGAGCTACTTGGCCACAATAATAAGGTGTATGCTTGGTTGAGTTTTTCTAACCTAAGAACACTGTACACACTGTCAAGTATGTGGTGGTAGCATCATGGTCTGGGGCTGCTTTGGTGCCAGTGGTGCTGTCACTGATTTACACAAAGTGGATAGAATGATGAAGAAGGAATACCTCCAAGTTTTTCAACTTCACCTGAAATCAACAGCTAGGTAGTTGAAATGTGGACATATTTGGGTGTTGCAACAAGACAATTATCAAAACTGCTTTATCTGAATGGACAAGACAAGGTTAACCTTGTGCTTCTAGAATGGCCTTCTAGCCAAAGTCCTGACCTCAACCCTATTGAAAATTTGTGGACAGCGCTTAAAATCTGGGTCCATGCCAGGAAACCAACCAATATAAATAAATCTACCAATTCTACCAGAAGGACTAGTCAAATATACAGCCAGAATCATATCCAAAGCTTGTTGACCTACCTGTGGTCAAGGTGTAACTTGCTAATTTAACCAAATATCAGTGGGTATTTATATATAAACCTGAGCCTACATATATACATTTGAACTGTGTGGATTAGAGAAACTTTCAAAATCAAACTTGTGCACTTCATTTATTTGTTTAAATCATTAAAGAGCTACGCAGCACAGTCATTACACACTGGCAAAAGGAAAGTTCAAATACATCTTTAAAAGCCCCAAATTATCATGACATTCAAGTCCATGATGAGTGCATGACCGCAATGGTATACTTCACACAACCAGAAACATGACTCAAAATAGGTGATATTGTTGCACTGTGTTTGTTAGAAGCATTGTTGCTGTCCCTAAGTTGTTAAATAAACCTATTATAGTTACTTTAATTGATCCAAAGGCTGACATTGATTGTTACATCTCTACTCAGAAACATAATTAAAAAGAAAGGCAGCACCATTCACGATTAAGCAATCATTGCTGCTGTTTGGGGGGAAAAAGACAGAAGAAGCCACCTACTAACTCTAACCAGCCCTGACCTCAGTAAGAAGTCTTCATCAAACAGGAAAAATAAAGAATAAACAATATTTGCTATGGTGTACTGGAATTGCTGAGCATTACTGTACTTCTAAAAACAGGAGGGTGAATTCTTTTAAAGATTTTTTTTAAAATTGAGGTTGTTAACCTCCTAGGACCTGTCGTCCACATATGTGGACATCCCATTTTGGGTTATTTAGACCAAAATACTCAATTTTGCTCTACATGGGCCTGATATCCACTTACGAGGACATTATACTGCTGCTGTTCTATCAAAACTTTAAACGAATATCCTCATATGTGGCTCTTATTGTTCTTAAAAACAAAAATAAGGTAAAAAAAATCTGGTAATTCTTTGTTTTTACATTCATCGGGCCCCAATATGCCAAGATATCAAAGAGAAATTAAAAATGCATGTCGTGGAAGAGTTTGGGTCTTAGGAGGTTAAAGAAAATACCACAACACTTAGCATTGACAGCATTAAATATCTTTGTTTTTAACCGTGTTGTGGTTTCTAACAAGCCTCAGACTGTAAGATCAGATACAAACAAGCGCTGTGGGTGCTTGGCAAGCTGCAGCATTATGTAATATTTTGGCAGTCAATGAATTACTTACATTACACCACTGACGGCTTCCTCAAGGAACTCATCTTCATATCTTTTCGCTGTTCTTTGAAAAGGAAATTGCATATTTATTTTTATGCTTTGCTAGTATGCAAATTTCCCCTTAGTTGCTTTTTGTGGGTGCATGATAAGCCCTGATTTTACATATTTAGATTTAGGGGGATTAAGGGAGGCATGTATACTTTCTCACAGATGGGAAGTCACTATTTCCCACTGAGTGTTAACTTAATTAGAATTAATTTTAGACTTGAAGAGCAGTGTTTTAGCAACCCAGGGAAGTTTCTATTCTATTATCAAACCTGAATTCTAGCATGTTCATAGCTGATGTAATGCGCTTGATTTT